CTTGTGCCCTCCAGCCGTATCTATTTTTTTTTTTTTTTTAACCAACTAATCTTCAGGGAATTTCAAACTGAACCCTTTAGTTAATTTACAGATTTTTACATATTTTTTTAAATTTTTTTAATTATTTTACCCAAGAATGCAATAATGCCACTAAGACACAAGGGGTAGCTATGAGGGGAAAAGAATGAGAACACTTTAGTGAAGGGAAAGGACTGTAGTGATACTGAAGGTGAATATCTTCCTTTTGTAGAGATAAATCACGTCAGGTCAACACTGTTGGGATCTATCCATCTATCTAGGTTTTTGATTTTTATCTGATTGTCAGGATCCCAAACATTTAACAACAACACAGTCTTTAAATGAAACATACAATGGTTATTCAATGCAAGGAAAACTGAACATTTTATTGTGACTGTATATTTCTGAAAAGAATATATAAATGTTATTTCAACTTATGTTCTGCTTCTACTTTCAGTCAGATGACAACCTTTTTATGTTTCTTTTAAAAGATGTGTTGTTTCTTAAATGTTTAGAATCCTGACACTCAGATAAAAGCAAAAACCTGATATAAAATATAAATATATATATATATATATATATATATATATATATATATATATGTGTGTGTGTGTGTCAACAATCAATTTGTATTCCATAAAGACGCATAAGTAGGCCTTGAAAAAATATATATATACATTAACAAGAGACAATGTAAGTTTAATAAAGGTGTATAAGTATGCTTAAAGCAACAGAAGTGTTATGCACTTGTTATTGTAACATGTAACTCAGTACAACCTGCCACATTGGCATCTAAATCAGCTCCCTCACTAGCTTTTCAGTGAGGAGTGATATGTCACTTCACAGGACAACGACCAAGCCCAGCCAAAGTGCAGATGAGCTTCTTATAGGAGCCAATGGCCAACGTGTGTGTATATATATATATATATATATATATATATATATATATATATATATATATATATATATATATATATACATGCACACAACTACTACATGTTATTTTTTAACCATTTAGAAAATGACAAAAAATTCTTTTCACCACTCCCACAAATTTGAGAAAAAAGATTTGTGTGAGCCAGTGTGAAATTATTTTCTAACTAATGAAAACCTTGCGTTCAAAAAGTTCACACCTTTATGTTGTGAAATTTGATTGTGAATCCCTTTACAGATATAAAAATACAAACATACTTCTTCGAAAAACAATTATGGAGGCCACCTTTGATCTATACATGTATATGTGCACATACACATCAGTCCATGCACACAATGGAAGGTCTTGTCCATGCACACAATAGAAGGGATTGACCGCCATCAGCCACCAACTAAGGCCTTGTACATGCACACAATGCAAGGGATTGACAGCCATCAGCCACCAACTAAGGCCTTGTCCATGCACACAATGGAAGGGATTGACAGCCATCAGCCACCAACTAAGGCCTTGTCCATGCACACAATGGAAGGGATTGACAGCCATCAGCCACCAACTAAGGCCTTGTCCATGCACACAATGGAAGGGATTAACCAAGAACTGCCAACTAAGCCTTTTTTCTGTGATCTCACAAACACATTAGGCTGACCGTTATAAAGTAAGTCTGTCTGCACATCTTATATATGACTTAAGAACACTTAATTAATTGATAAAACAAACTTAATTGCAAGAAAATTTGAACATTTTATTGCTGTTGTATATTTCTGAAAAGAATATATAAATGTTATATCAGCTGATGTTCTGCTTCTGGTTTCCTTCAGAGGATAACTTTTTTTTCTTCAGTTTCATTTAAGATCGTTTCACCCCAAGCAAGGCAATAATGCCACTAAGATGGAAGTGGTTACTGAGAATGGAAGAGAATGAAAAGAACGGTTCTTGCGAAGGCACAAGATGGTGACTGATATTGCATTTATATTTTTGTCGGTGGCAGGGAAGTAAGAAATCGGGAGAGAGAGTTCTATGGGTCAAAGTGCAAAAAAATAAAGAAACTAGTAGAACTTGAGGTTACATCTAGCTATTTCAACAAGAAAACTAGAACTAGTTGCCAATTTAGTAGTACACTTAAATTCATGTGGTCAAGGTACCAAAGAGATGAGTATTTGTAATATTTACAAAATGTGGCACAAGGCCAAAAAAGGGAATAGGGGGAAAGGACAGTTTTCTTCTGTCTTAACATTAAACTTAGCCACAATCACTGACCCAAATATTCAACAATATTCCTTACGCCAAAACAATGCATTCTTACTTACAACATCATAATACCTCAGAATCTCCATGAAAGTCCTAACTAGTACATGTATGTACAATTCATCGTCTCTGTGCGGAGGGGAATAAAACAACAATTTAAAATCTAGCCCCAATGTGTATTTACAGTATGAAAACAAAACTATTTACAAGATACCAACCAGACTAATGTTAGTAATAAAATCCCACACAATCCTTAAATGCGACAGAAACATCATTTCACAGGACAAAATCAATGCAGGACTCTAATAATATAAAGCAGTCATTCATTCCAGGCATTCACCGAAACACACTCATTCAAGCACAACAAATATGAAAATCACACTCAAAATGAAAGGCGCCCACATCCACCAGAGAACTGACATCTCTGCTCACATAAACAGAAAGCTTATTAGAACAACTGCCATGAAAATATTTATAGAAGAAACAGAGGTGATGGGAAAGTGACTGAAGTCGAGATGCCAGATGAAGACCGATAGCATTTGTAGTCCGAAACAACAGTAAGCTGAGGAGAAGAATGCATAATTTCAGAATTCATAAGATTATTAAACCTACTTTCAGAGACATTTTCCAGGTGCTTCTGCACAGAATATAATGCCAAACACGACAGACTTGAATATGTGCTTAAAATACTGGGAAAATGTTTATTAAATTATCTTGAAGTGAATCTTTAAATTGAAAAAATGTCATGTTAAACTTTTAAGCAGATGAAATATAAAAGTGGCTCATGTAATGAATAGTGGCTCAGAATATGAAATCTGGGAGCCAAGTTCAAATTCCACTTGGGTTTGGTACATCTATTTATGTTCATATAATCTTGGGAAAGATAGGAATCCACCTCCTTCCCCCCTCGGCTATGGGTTAAATAGTAAGACGTGTATCTGGGTGGAGGAATCCTTTAAGAAAAATAATGCTTTAAATAACACTGTTGACAAGCCATAAAAACAATCAAATCAATTAATCGAAATACAAAAGAAACAAATGAATTCTTTTCAACAGATGCTTCCAAATCCAGGAAGATTTTTTTGTTATATTGTTAAATAGTTTCACCTGGAGATTTTTTTTTTTTTTTTTTTGCGGTGTAGTGCGTGGGAGTTGTCGTTGTTTGTTTTTCTGTCGTATTTTGTTTATTTTTTAGTTTTTTTTTTTTTGTTTGTTATTTCAAGTATATATTATGAGGATCATGAGCCAACGCTTTTTTCTGTCGTTTTTTTTTTGTGTTTCTGTGGTTTTTTGTTTGTTTTTCTGTCGTTCTTTTTTTGTTTATCTGTTGTTTGTTGTTTGTTTTTCTGTTTTTTTTTTTTTGTTTTCTGTTTTTCTTGTTTTTCTGTTTGTTTTTCTGTCGTTTTTTTTTGTTTGTTTTTCTGTCGGTTTTTTTTTTGTTTGTTTTTCTGTCGGTTTTTTTTTTTGTTTTTCTGTCGGTTTTTTTTTTGTTTTTTTCTGTCGGTTTTTTTTGTTTGTTTTCTGTCAGTTTTTTTTTGTTTGTTTTTTTTTTTGTTTTTTTTCTGTCGGTTTTTTTGTTTGTTTTTCTGTCGTTTTTTTTTTTTGTTTTTGTCTGTTTTTTTTGTTTGTTTTTTTTTTTTGTTTTTTTTCTGTCGTTTTTTTTTTTTTTTTCTGTTTTTTTTTGTTTGTTTTTTCTTTTTTTTTTTGTTTGTTTTCTGTCAGTTTTTTTGTTTGTTTTTCTGTCTTTTTTTTTTGTTTGTTTTTCTGGTAGGTTTTTTTTGTTTGTTTTTCTGTCGGTTTTTTTTGTTTGTTTTTCTGTCGGTTTTTTTTTGTTTGTTTTTCTGTCGTTTTGGTTTTTCTGTCGTTTATTTTTTTGTTATTTCAAGTATATATTATGAAGATCATGAGCCAACACTTTGCCATCATTGAGATTTCTTTGATTGTCAGGGTTTGTTGGCCTGTGACTTGGGCTGAGGAGAGAGTTCACTGATTCATTCCCATGGCTTATCAACCCCTTGCACGTTATTTAAAGCAAGAAATTATGTTTGTTTATTTTTAACAGTTCCACCCTAAGCAAGGTAGTAACGCCCTAAAATACAAGATTACAGTGTGTGAAAGAATTAGGAACAGAAACCTGAATAAGGAGGAGATAGATAGTGATTGACATTGCAGATTAAAGTTGCCTGGAAAACATGAAGCCAGAAGGGAGTTTGACAAATGAGACATGTGAGAAGAAACTGTTAACATAGAACTTACAGCTACATCTAGACAGCTCAACTGCAAATTGATGAGATCATGATGACAATCTAGTACTGCACTTAAATTCATAAAGTCTAGGTACCATAGTGAAGAGCTCATTCAAACAATAACCATGCAATTATTTATAGAAAAGACATAGGTTCTGGAGAGAAAAATTGTCTTGCCTGACATAGTGAACTGACTTTCTTAGAAGCTGCCCTAGTAGTCTTTCCACTTCATATCAGCAGAGAACGTAAGCCCAAGAAGGTACAAGTCACTTTTTTTGGAGGATAGCATCAGTCATGTTGATGGAAGGTAGCAAGGGGTCTCTCAGATGATTAATGGAGAGAATATATGCATATATATTTCTTTTTTTTAAATAATACTGATATAGTCATACAAGTTTTACTAATTAACCCATAGCTAGGAGGGAGAAGAGGTGGATCCATACCATACCAAGGATATTTGCACACAAGTGAATATAATGAACCCAATGTGATTTGGAACTCGGCTCACTGATTAACAATTCTCAGCCATTATCCATTACACCACCTGAACATCCAAGCTTACAGCATCTGGTATTCCCAAGCAGTCACCCATCTAGGTACTGTCCAGGGTCAATGTTGCTTAACTTCAGTGTGTTTATGAGAAACAGTGTTTCAACATTGCCATAAGTCGAAAAGATCGAGTGGCCTATAAATAAAAGAAATTAAAATGGTTGCTTCTGCTGTTGTTATTGTTATTATTATTAATAATAATAATGATGATGTTAATGACTGTCATAGTAATAAGATAGTAGAAAATGTATATATGTAAATAAATGTATAGTTATAAAAGAATAGTCTCCTCAGTCACTTTGTTACCATGACATTAGTTAGAAATTAGTTCAGCATGTAAGTCTTACTTAATTACTTACTTTTCTATTTCTTTTTTAGTTAATTTCTAAATAATTCTATAGTAGTGTATAATGAGAACTGCTGGGGAGCCATGTTTGTATAAATATCAGTTTTGCTCTTGAATGGTTAGATTTTTGATGGCTTATCAATCTTTGCAAGCTATTTAAAGCCAGAAAATATTTTTAGATTCTATGTTTTTTATTTTTTTTTTTTTTTTAGATAATGATTTACTAATATAAGTCTTACTAATAAACCAATGACTGATGGGATACCTTATCAGAATTTGATAAGCAAGAAATTGTGACTGTAAAATGGGAGTTCAGTTTTATATTACAATCAATATATAAACTTATCCTTCATTTTGTGGACAAGGTAATTTCTATACATTTATATTATGGAATAATGATTAGCTATACAGACTTGTCTTTTAGATTTATTTATCTAAAAGACAAGTTTGTGAAGCTAATCATTATTCTATTGATTGATTCATTCATTTTCTATGGGTTATCAAAGATTTTCAGGTTATTTAAAGCCAGAAAATATTTTTACATTGTAAGAATTTTGTGGAGATAATAATAATATTTTATTGATACAAGCCTTAGTAATCAACCTGTAGCTGCATGGGTAAAAGAGATGGATTCATATTTTTTTCTAAGAATAATTGTGCAGCATGGATGATTATAACAAAGCTGATTGGAAGTACTCTCCGACTTCCAATTTCAAGCTACACTTGACACATCCAAGCTTACAGCACTTGGTTTTCCCAATCAGTCATCCACCTAGGTACTGACCAGGCTTGATGTTGCTTAACTATGTTTCAATGTAATATGGCCATAATCCATTTGCTCTTGAATCCCCACATCAGTAACATGGCAAGCCAATAATGATTATTCAACAAGCAAAGGAACAGTTAAATCTCTGGGTGGTCTTCAGACCATATTTTCTTTTTTCTTTCTTTCAAATACTATCCCCACTTAAGAAAATGCATTACCTCTTCTGACCTCCTCATCAGAAAAACAAAATTGAAAGGAGAAAGAAAGGAAAAAAAAAAATTGATGCACTTCAGTATTTGTTAAACTAATTATCAGAAGAAAATTGAAAATGCTTGCAAAGTTTAAAAGTTAGAAAAGGTAAATTTTAAATACCCATCATTGTTATATACACTGACATGCCAAAAGACATAGTATCATGTCATACACTTCCTAGACCAGCATAACACACCAATTCAAAGTAACATTGATTCCACAAATAATTGAGAGACCGCTGGAGAGATGTTGCTATCAACAGCTCTTTTATATTTGTTTACACAGATTCTGAAATCTGAACAGCCCTCTTGAGCACATCCTATAAATTCTTAATTGTACTCAATCACTTTTGGGTAACATGGGCCTGATGACATGGTGCATTATCCTACAGGAATAACCTATTGTTGTTGATATATGTTTGAAGAATCATTAAAAAAAAAATCTGATGTACCCTGCTAATACCTGTAAAGATTGTCTGTCTTGATTTATTATTCATGAACTGTCATTAGTATAAATACCACTACTCTTTGGAGAAAACATTTCATATACTTATATTGTTATAACACTTTTTTAATAAAATACATCTATATAATAAATGCAAATGTCAGTGTGTCACACTTTTTCAATTAAAGGGACACAATTTTCAATAGCACGTGTTACTGAAATTTTGGATTCCTAAGTTTTCATTACTGTGATATTTTTTTGTCAATTACTTTTTTTTTTCTTTTTACATAAGTTTCTGAAACAATTTTTTGTACTATACCAATTTTTATAACTTGGAAATAAATTTCGGAATTATTGAAATTAATTGTGAAAGTTATCATGAAATACAAATAATTGTTTGTAAAGAAAGTAAGGACCTACACACATCAAATTGTCTTTAAGTTAAGTGGATGCATAAGGATTAAAACTTTTGAACTTTTAAAATGTAAGCTTAAGTAGAATCTTTTTTGAGTAAATAGAAAGCAGAAAGAGAATAACATCAAGATCTTTAGAGGATGCCTGCATTTGATCACATGGGATTCAGATGGATCAAAATGGGCTTGTACAAAGTCATTATGAGTGAGGATTTGAGCATGCTGGTCTTGTTCAAACTGTTGATCATGTCAGATTATATGCTCTCTATCAAAAACTGCAAGCATTATCTACAAACTCTTTGAGATAGTTATTCTTAAACTTCCATCAGTAACATGGGGTCTTTTACTTGTATCACACACATATTTAGCTGACTGATGTTACCCTCAGCATCCTCAATTCCAGAGTTTCTATCTACTCGTCAGAGGGTACCAGGAATTGACTGTTTGTTTATTTCCTTGATCTTTATTTTCTATATGCAATTTTCATTTGGTGCAAGTTTGAGTTTTTTTTTTTTTTAATAGTGTATTTGGTTATTTACCGTTTTTGCAAATGAAAACTCAAACTTGCCCCAAATGAAAATATGCAATTTTCATTTGGTGCAAGTTTGAGTTTTTTTGGGTTTTTTTAATAATGTATTTGGTTATTTGTCCTTTTCATTGTTTTCCCACTTACACTCTCTCCTTATTAGACTTTTACTTTTTCTCTCTTCTTTCAACTGTAGCAATTTTGACATCCAGTTTTTCAGACATTCACTATCTTTGATAATTCTTGAGTGTTCAAGTGTTTCCTTGAGTTAGGAAATTGCATTTCATTTTTTACATAAGTAATTTTCTTTTTTTTTTTTTTAATGCTTAAATGATAAGGTAATTTTTTTTTCTTTAACAGTGAGGTTCACCCTTTATGAGGTAGTGGGTTACACTTGGTTGCCATTTGTGTGGATAGGAGTGGAAGGTAACGGTTAACTCTATCCTTGAGCAATTTAAGATTGTAGTGAATGGTGGGACCAGGGAATATAGTTCATCTGAACACTTTCCATGGAAGTAGTGTAGAATAATTCATCACCCACAAGGGCTCAGATGCTTTTGAACTCTATCAAGGCTGGAGAGTGAGATCTTGGCATCTCCTGCCCAAATATGACAATAGTATTCCATTTTTGACCAGATCTGGCTCTCGTAAAGACAGAGGTTAGCAGGATGAGTCAGGTACTTAGTGGGGCTGTACAAAGAGCTGACTATTTTACCTGCGTCCTTAGCAATAGATCATATGTATGTTCTACTTCAAGTCAGGTTTAAGTTTGAGGCCCAACAGCCTATCAAGACATGGTGCTTTTTACCCCAAGAAAACCTCTGTTCATCCTGATTTGTGGTAGTTCAGGGTCAGATTGGTTATGATGGAATACAACTAGGTTGTTCTTCGGGACATTGAACGTAACCAATCAGTTTTTACCTTATTGCTTATTTTGTACAAGATCAGAAGAGAGATCAGTCGCCAATTTCTGACCATCATGAGTTTTAGAGGTGTTCCCATATATAGTCATATCATCAGTATAGATGTTTACAAATGATCTGAGTATATTCTTAGGCAGATCATTTATGTAGATCAAAAAGAAGGTTGGTTTGAGGAGTGAACCCTGCTTTGACCTCTAGAGCTCTAGAGAACTGGCCATTAATAACTACCTTCAGGGACCCTACCTGTTAGGGAGGATTTTACGATTGAGAAGACCAATCCAGAAACTGGAAAGCTTGTGTAGTAATCATTTGTAACCAACTTTGTTGAAGGCCTTTGAGATATCTAGTGCTATGGTCCTTGAGGTGTGTTTTTCTTCAAGTGCTGCCCTGACTCTCTGAGTGATGGTAGTTAGAACATTGGCAGTGGATTGAGCCTACTGAAACCAATACTGCTTGTCACTGAAGAGTTTGTACTTTACTTAGGTACTTGATGAACTTCTTATTGATTGTGGCCTCAAAAAGCTTACTGATAGTACTATAGTGGGAGGGAGAAGATTGCAGGTTTGCATTTTTAAAAACTAGGCATACACTTGAAATTTTTTAACCGGCTTGGGAAAGGTTTCTCCTTCAAGCAGTGGTTGAATAACTTTGCTAGGATTGGGGATAATTCCAAGTTGATATTCTTAAGGACAACCACTGGAATTTTGTCTGAACCAGTGGCTTTTATCAAAGGCTTGTCCCTAAAAGTGTAGCAACTTCTCATGCTGAGATTGTGCTCAGTGAGACATAAGAACTTAGGGAGGGGATTCTCTTTGTCATCTAACATTGAGTTAAAGGCAAAGAGGTTTGCCTTATCTAATGTGTAGGATACAACCTTGTGGCCATTTATAACAGTGGGCACAGCTGCTTTGCCTCTGTTCAGAATTTGGTTGGTGATTTTCCAGAATTCGTGGGATCCAATTTGTTTCTTTTCAACCTTGGTCTGTATAGTTGCACTTTGCATTTTCTAGAATTTTTTTTTTTTTTTTTGCAGTGACTGTGGGCAGTTTTGAATGCAGTAAGCGCTGAACTATTTGCCCCTTGTGATAGATATTTAAGTAGTGGTTTCAGTGAGTTATCGCTGCAGGACATTCAGAGGTGAACCAAGGTTGTCTAGTTTTTGTTGGAATTTCTTTTGGGGTATAAATCTCTTCATACCAGGAAGGATCCAATCCGTGACAAGGGCAGCAGTTTTTGAGGCAGCATACTTGAAGAAGGTTGGGAGGGGACCTGCCATCATGTAAGATTGGAAGCTGTCCCAGTGTGTCTTTTCATAGCAAAAAATTGTTCTATGGAATGATACATCAGGGGATATCTTTACTTGGCCATTATTTTATTTTCTTATCTGAAGTATTAATTAGGGTATTAATTGTATGAAATTAGGATTATAATTAAATTCTTTGACTT